ATTATATATCAATATGATGTATAAATAAAAATATATCATAATATTAAAATATAATTATTTAATTTTATATGTCATTATTATTTTAAAAAAGAATTAATTTGTGATAAAATAATGAGTTACATGGCAATTTAGTTAATAGAAAACTTTTATCAAAAAAAAAAGTTAACAGAAGAACTATTTTGGTATTGAAAACTAAAATTTAGGGATAATTTTAATGTTTTTTAAAATTGACGGATAATTTTAGTATAATCTAAAAGTTTAGGGACTAAATGGGTATTTAAACCAAAAAAGAAAGAGAAAGACGAACGGATAAAGTAACGCTTTAGAAGAAGCACCGTCAGATGAACTTTGTACGGAAATGATCTAAAGGTCTATTGATCTTACCGTGGTCCATGTTCCTTTTGATTCTTTTCAACAAATCACAAAACCCGCGCAAATTTGAAATCTAACCTTTTAATTTATTTTCCTTTTACTAATTCATAAATCTTATTTCTCTTTTTATAAAATTTAAATTTAAAATTTTATTTCAAAAAATTTAAATACCCTCTGTTGGATTCAATAGGTACATTGTTACCTTCTAATTTTTTTTATTTTGGTTATATACAAGAAACAATTATTTTTTATCTTTTACTTCACACTATTTATATGTTATGCAACTCAAATTTAAAATTACTTATTTTTAATTAATAAAAAAATTAATTATTAAGTTATTTAGATTATTTTAGCTTTAACTTATTTTTTAATCATTAAAAACTGTTATAATTTTTTCTGAAAAATTCATGTGACATATGCAGCGCACTGAGAGAGGAGAGAAAGGGAGATTAGGGCTTTGTTTTGGTTTTGGTTGTTGAAGACGAGAGGCGTGAAGAGGAGCGATCGGAAGGATTCCGGCAAAATGGAGGCCACATTAGCGGCGCAAGTTCAGATTCAGCTACGGCAGATCTCCTTGCATTCACTCTTCCACCACCAGCCACCTTCCGCCGCCTCATCTTCTCCTTTCCAGAACCTTCCGGATTCCCAAGCTCCCAACGCCTCCACGTCTGCTCTCGACTTCGACGTCGATCCCACTGATGAAAGAGATTTCATTCTCAGTCAAGATTTCTTCTGGTAATTTCCTCTTCATCTGCTTAGCCGTCAATGCTTGATCGAACACTGATATTAGTAAATTTAATCTTGGTGAAGTTAAAGATGGAATCTTTAAGACATTTTTATGATTTAATTTGCAATTTGATTGTGGATGAGGATGCAGCACTCCGGATTATATCACTCCTGAGAATCAGAATTCGCTGAGCGGCTTTGATTGCGATAAGGTGAGGATGAAACTGGCTGTCTTGTAAATCGAGTTGTTTATGCTGAAGTTTTTAATTTGTTTTTTTTTCCCCTTTGATTCAATGGGAAAACATTCCTTGCCCTAAATCACCAGAGAAGCTGAACACTGTCAAGCGCAAAAGAATTCATCCAGGTATGAATGTATGATGCTACTTTTGTGGCAGATGAGGATAAGCATAGGCAAAGTGTGAATATCTTATGGCTAGAAGTTATAATATTGTTGTTTCTGTATCTCGCCATGTCCAATATTTCAAGTTCTGCCTTTGTAACTTAGGTTGAAGCTTCAATGGTACTTGCATCAATATGTGTGTATTACAAATTTAGGAAATTATTAATTTTTTAGTTTATTATATATTCACCAGACTCTTGCTTAAGTATTTTGCCATTCATGTCTCTAAATTTCCCCGAGCACATCATATTTATCTATAACTTAAGGCTTCACAATTTCCTTATTTTGTAATTAGTTTTGGTGTTAGTGTTCTGAGTGCTTTGTTGTCACTTTTGCATTAAACATTCATACTTTTTCCAGATGCTATCTCAAGAAATGCCCTTAGTCCTATGTTATCAAGCAATCAACAAATAGTGGAACTTGCCAAAGACTCTATTGAAATGAATGAAGCTAATATGGAGAAAACAACAGCAACTGGAGCACAGAAGAGTAAAGGTTATGTTTCACAATCTGCAGTTGCTTTATGTTGTCGAGTAATGCCACCTCCCTGCATTAAGAATCCATATCTAAAGGATGCTTCCAAAACAGAAATAGATCCCTTTGGAACTCAGAGATCAAAATGTGCAGGTATTATTCAAGATTCATTAGGAATTTTCTCACCTATCTTTGTAATTTTAGTTCCACTGTCTGCTTTCCCTTCGAAAGGAATGAAATCATGCTTTTATGTCCTAAGAGCATACAAAATTTTAATTACATTTTCCCACTATGTGTAGGTCTCTTCCACTCAAGTATTGGTGGAGATGGTCTTTCACGCTATCATACAGATTTTCATGAGATTGAGGTATCTATTTATATTCCAAGAAACTCTAGGCTTCTTTTGGACCATTGGTTTCATACATATGTTAAAAATTTAGACTTCACGTTTCTCTATCCTTGCATTTCCAACTAATTGGTATCGGGAACTTCAGTCAAGTTTTTAAAATTTTAAAGAGAATAGATGGTTGCATGTATGCTGTGAAACATAGCACAAGGCAGTTGCACCAAGACACAAAGAGGTAGCATGGTGCATAGTTATTTATTTTCAGCATACTACCTTCCTTTTCCAACTCCCTTAGGTGACAATTTTTCAACTTTGCAGGATGAAAACCTTAATGGAAGTTTAAGCCCTGGCAGCTCTAGGTATATCTGTAAATATTTTTCTGTTTCTATGCTTTTTAATTTTTATATTTATTTAAAAGCTAGAAAAATTGTGTTTGATTGTTGACATTGGAACAATCTTTCCTAAATGGTGTTAACAATTAAGATCCTGCGGTTGCAGGGTCTCATGAAAACATTGTAGGATATTATTCATCCTTGTTTGAAAATGGGCAACTGTACATCCAGATGGAACTATGTGATTATAGCTTGTCCAGAAATAAAGCTTCCCAATTATTCACAGAGGGCAAGCTACTGAAAGTCCTATTTCAGGTTAATTTTCTCTTTGCTGTGTCTCTATAGAAAAAGAGAAAAGATATGTCTGCATCATCCTTTTAATAGACCTTATGTTAGAAACTTGGTAGTTGGCTACCCACAATTGCACAGATGGCATGTGCAGTGGCACAGGTTTACTAATAAAAAATCATGAAATAGGTTTCAGTTCTCAAAACTCTAAATTCACCTTTAGTCATCTCTCTCAAAAAAAAAAGGTCACCTTTAGTCAGAAATTTATGGGGGATTCAGATGCTTCATGCAAGTAAAATATGGAAATGTTGTCTCATATGGCATCAAAGATTGGATTTTTCTGCTATATGTTTAAGGTTCATCGGCAGTGGTAGTGATCTTTATTAGCTTATTTATTTTTGGTAAATCTCTTCTGAATTAGAAACACATTTTCAATTCTATCAAGTTGTCATTTCCTGTAGTTGATGAGCCTTCTAATGTCAAGATTTATGCAGATTGCCAAAGCATTGCTGTATATACATGAAAGAGGAATAGCTCACCTAGATATAAAACCTGAATATTTATGTCAAGAATGGTGTTTATAAACTAGGCGATTTTGGATGTGCAACTCTACTGAATAAGAGCTTGGCAATTGAGGAGGGTTGTGCTCGTTATATGCCTCAGGAAATCCTAAATGAAAGTTATGATCATCTTGACAAGGTTGATGTCTTCTCTTTGGGAGCTGCAATATATGAGCTTATCAGACAGTCACCTTTTTCAGAACCAGGGGCCCAGTTTCTTAGGGATGGAAAGTTGCCTCTCCTACCTGGGCATTCATTGCAGTTTCAAAACTTACTTAAGGTATTCTCTGTCCTGTTCTTTCTTCAGTGCTGAAGCCTTTCCTAAAATTAAGTGAACCTGTCCATTCTTTGCTAGTTATCTGAAAAGCAAATCTTGGAAACTTTGTCTCATTTAGATGAGTAGGAGTGTCCTAAATCAACAATATTCTGGTAAAAATTTAGATTAATAGGATTCTTTTGTCGAGCTTTCCAGTAAAAGAATATTCATTTCTTTTTAAAAGGGAAGCAAAAGCTAGAACATAATTTAACCTGGAGTACCTTACCTAACTGGAATTCAATATTATGTCATCCATTAAACTGGAATTACACGGGAAGAGTGCTATAGCATGGTTGGTTTTATCTGATATGTTACTTACATATGATAATTCTATTAGGTGATGGTTGAACGGGATCCATCTCGACGTCCTTCTGCCAAACAAATAGTAGAAAATCCAATTTTTGACAAGATTCAGAGAAAAATGTGAGAGCCTTTACATGGGCGTTATGTCATAACTCATAATGGTATTGCAATGTTGTATTTGTATGGTTAGCTTTTGAATCTGCAGGTCCAGCTTGAGGCCTGACTCTCAAGGGGAACAGGGTTGTTGATGATCAAGTCCCTTCTTAAATTATGTTTATGCACCAAATTTTGTTCCATAATGGTGCAGGTTTTGTAATGTTTGGGTTCAAGAACTGTTATACCGTGACTGAAAGACAGTGGCACCTTTTTTTGGTATAACTTTGACTATTTAAATTTTTAACTCAATTAGTCTCGCGGTAAGTTTTTATAAGCCTATGAGTACTTGGTTAATCTTTAATATGATTCACGTTATTTCCTTACTAGTTGAGTTAAAAACTATAATGAATCGGCTTATTTTTTTTTTCCTTTTTTTAATATATATTTTGTCGAATTTGCTTTTCACAGCAAAAATGATTTGAACTTGAATTTCTTAAGATTTTTTAGGTTGAGATTGATATGTACTATTTTTAAAAATAATTTCATATGTATTATTGTATTTTTTTTCATGCGAGCTAACTTAAAAAATAATTTTATGTAATTAATTTATAAAACACATTAATTTTAATTCTATATTTTAATAAAAAATTAATATAAACTAAATTTTTAAAAAATTAAGAGAAAAATATTTTAAAATTGTCATTTATTAAAGCAATATAGAAAAAGATTAAAATCTCTTAAATGCTTCAAAAATAAGTTAATTTAATGTTTTTTAATAATAATTCATTAAAATGATATAATTTTATTAAAAAAGGTGTTATACAATTTAATTTAATAATTTTTATTTTCCAATTTAATACAATATAAATTATAAAACAAGGTCTCCATTTTATTAAGGGTTTATTTTCTTATATCATATATTTGAGCGACTAAAGATTTCATTCAAAGGCAATAAGTTTGAGGGTATTAGAGAGCTGTGACCTTGAATCCATCTCTCAAATATGACAATAATAAATTAATTCTTTAAAAAATATAAAAAATAAATTAAAAATTTTAAATTATAAATTAAAATAAATTATTTATATTTTCATACATGATATCAAATTTATGTTAAAAAATATTTATGTAATAAATAAAATTTTAACATTATATATTACTCGCCTCCTGCACTCTCCTACCAACACATGCTTTTTTATTGGGCCACGTAAGCTTGCTTTTTAAGCTATGAAATGATTACCTGTCAAAACCAGCATAACGTGGCCAATGAAAATGGAAGTGTTGCTTGGAGAGTGCAATTGGCGAGTGTTCCTAGCATTGCTCTTTCCCATTTACGTTGGGATGGGGAAGTGGGGTCGGTTTTTAAAGCGAGAAAAGTAAAAGGTTCCCAGAAAGAGAGAGGAAAGGAAGAAAACCCAGAAAAGCAATCGAATATAATTCGATGCATTCGAATCTGTATCGTTCGATTCTGGATTCTGTAACAAAAAGGTATTGTTAGAGACCAAGCATGGAGTTGTCATCCACAAAGCCCACTTGGGAGGAGTATATATATTTCAGAGGGCTGGTTATGTCTCAGGCATAGAATTGTTGAAGAATTGAAGCAGAGGTGCCAAATTCAGTATCAGGTATGTAAACATCACCTTTAATTCTTAAATTCATTTCCATTCCCTCTGCTTTATATATACATATATATATATATATATATATTTATATGAACATTGATATTCTCCATTTAGATACTACAGAGGAGAAGTTGAAATGGCTGGAGCAAGGAAGAACCGTCAGGGAAGGCTTAGGCGCGTGCGCAGAGTATAGCTTCATATTTATTTTTCCAACAATTAAATGCCTCTCAATTTCATTTAATGTCGCCACGAGTTTACTGATATATTGGTTTCATGGCTTTAATATGTTCAAACAAAGGCTCTCAAGAAGATGAAACGAAAAGCTGCAGCCAAGAGGGAGGAGCTGGGCCGCCTAAGAGACGAGACAGCACAAATGGAATTTGCAGTGGAACAACTGAATTTTGAGAAGGACTTGCTGAGGATGCTGCTGGAACAACATTCTAATGACAATGCTTCTATCTCAGCAACATTGGACAGTATTACCCAGGCCCACTTTAATTAGGATATACAAGAAGAACAGTTCCGATCTGTTGTGTCATGGTCCAAACTCCTCATGGAGCTTATCCCACTGCATAATTAAGTCCAAGGGAAATAAAAGTTGTGTCTTTATGTTCATGTCTCATGTCATGTTTGGTTTAGGTCTTTGGGAGCTATGTTTTTGGGTTTTTGTTGTTGATCACTGCTCTTTTATATTATGTTGGATGTCAGAATATTTGGGCTATTTTCTTCAGTTAAATGGATGAATTCTTGTTTTTGTATCTTGCCATATCCAATATTTCAAATCCTACCTTTGTAACCTTGCAAGCATAACACGTTATTAACCTCCTTGTGATGGATGAACACTTCTTTTGGGTATCAAGTTAAGTAATTAACATTTTTTCATGACTCTAAATTTCTCACTTTTTTCTTGGGGAAGTTGGAGATTGATAACTGGATGAAGCCATCATGGAGTAAGGTCTGTGAACTTGTTTAATGATCCAAACTATGCAGTCCAGTCTGGTGTTTTAACTTTTAACAAGCTAGCAGTTGTTGTTTCTTATTCAAATCATCGTCGAAGTATAGGAATCATGGGGAAGGAAAAAAAATGACTTGAAAGATAAAGGAGATCATAAACTTTGTTTTGCTGCTGGTCATACATGTTTCCAGAACATTGCTAATTGCAAAATGATACTTTTTTCCGTATGTGTGTATTATAAAGAGATCATTGCTAATAGCAAAAGATGCTTGCTTCAGTTTGTGTGTAATATAAATATGGGACATTGATGATTTTTTGGTTTGTTATCCGTTCACCAGACTCTTGCTTAAGTATTTGCTATTCATGTCTCTAATCTCCCTGAGCACATCCTTTTTACCAATAACTTAAGGCTTCACAATTTTCATATTCTGTAATTAGTTTGGTTTTAGTGTTCTGAGTGTTTTGTTGTCTCTTTTGCACTGAACATTCATGCCTTTTTCCGGATGGTATCTCAAGAAATGCCCTTAGTCCTACATTATCAGGCAATCAACAAATAGTGGAACTTGCTAAAGACTCTTGAAATGGATGAAGCTAATAGAAAACAGCAGCAACTGGAGCACAGAAGACTAAAGGTTATGTTTCACAATCTGCAGTTGCTTTACATTGCCAAGTAATGCCACGTCTCTGCATTAAGAATCCATATCTAAAGGGTGCTTCTGAAACAGAAATAGATCCCTTCGGAAATCAGAGGTCAAAATGTGCAGGTATAATTCAAGATCAATTAGGAACTTTCTCACCTTTCTTTGCAATTTTAGTTCCACTGTCCACTTTCCTTTCAAAAGGAATGAATCAGTGCTTTATGTCCTAAGAGCATACAAAATTTTAATTACATTTTCCCACCATCTGTAGGTTTTTTCTGCACAAGTATTGGTAGAGATGGTCTTTCATGCTATCACACAGATTTTCATGAGATTGAGGTATCTATTTATATTCCAAGAAACTCTAGCCTCTTTTGGACCATTGGATTGATACAAATGTTAGAAATTGAGGCTTCATGTTTCTCTATCCTTGCTTTTCTAGCTAATTGGCATGGGGAACTTCAGTTGAGTTTTTAAAGAGAATAGATGGTTGCATGTATGCTGTGAAACATACCACAAGGCAGTTGCACCTAGACAGAGAGAGGTAGCATAGTGCATAGTCATTTACTTTCGGCATTCTACCTTCCTTTACCAACTCCCTTACGTGACAATTTTTCAACGTTGCAGGAGTAAAGCCTTAATGGAAGTTCAAGCCTTGGCAGCTCTAGGTCTATCTGTAAATACTTTTCTGTTTCTATGCTTTTCAATTTTTATATTTATTTAGAAGCTAGAAAAATCGTGTTTGATTGTTGACATTGGAACAATCTTTCCCAAATGGTGTTAAGAATTAACAACCTGTTGTTGCAGGGTCTCAGGAAAACATTGTAGGAAAACGAGCAATTGTACATCCAGATGGAACTAGGTGATTACAGCTTCTCCAGAACTAAAGCTTCCCAATTATTCACAGAGGGCAAGTTACTGAAAGTCCTATTTCAGGTTAATTTCCCTTTTACTGTGTCTCTATAGAAAAGAGGAAAGATATTGCCGTAGCATCCTTTTAATAGACCTTATGTTAGAAACTTGGTAGTTGGCTACCTACAGTTGCACAGATGGCATATGCATGCCATAGGTTGACCTATTAAATAACATGAAAGTGGTTTCAGTTCTCAGAACTCAAAAATCACCTTTGGTCATCTCTCAAAAAAAAGAGTCACCTTAGTTCAGAAATTTAGGGGGGACTTGGATGCTTTTGGGAACTCTGGGATTTAGATGTTTCATGCAAGTAAAATATGGAAATGTTGTCTCACATGTCATCAAAAATTGGATTTTTCTCTGATATGTTTAATGTTTATTTGGCAGTGGTAGTGATCTTTATTAGCTTAGTTATTTTTGGTAAATCTATTCTGAATTAGAAACACATTTTCAATTCTATCAAATTGTCATTTCCTGTAGTTGATGCCCTTTCTAATGTCAAAATTAATGCAGATTGCCAAAGCATTGCAGTTTATACATGTAAGAGGAATGGCTTAGCTAGATGTAAAACCTGAAAATGTTATGTCAAGAATGGTGTTTATTAATGCTAGGCGATTTTCGATTTTGGATTTGCAACTCTTCTTATAAGGGCTTGCCAATTGAGGAGGGCGATGCTCGTTATGTGCCTCAAGAAATCCTAAATGAAAATTATGATCATCTTGACAAGGTTGATATCTTCTCTTTGGGAGCTGCAATGTATGATCTTATCAGACAGTCACCTTTTTTAGAATCAGGGGCCCAGTTTCTTAGGGATGGAAAGTTGCCACTCCTACCTGGGCGTTCATTGTTGTTTCAAAACTTACTCAAGGTGTTCTCTGTCCTGTTCTTTCTTCAGTCCTGAGCTGAAGCCTTTCCTAAAATTAAGTAAACCTGTTCATTCTTTGCTAGTTATCTGAAAAGCAAATCTTGGAAACTTTGTCTCATTTAGATGAATATGAGTGTCCTAAATCAACAATATTCTGGTAAAAATTTAGATTAATAAGATTCTTTTGTCGAGATTTGCAGTAAAAGAATATTCATTTCTTTTTAAAAGGGAAGCAAATGCTAGAAAATAATTTAGCCTTGAGTACCTTACCTAACTGGAATTTAATATCATGTCATCCATTAAACTGGAATTACATGGAAAGAGCGCCATAGCATGGTTTGTTTTATCTGATATGTTACGTATGTATGACAATTCTATTAGGTAATGGTTGAACGGGATCCAGCTGGACGTCCTTCTGCCAAAGAAATAGTAGAAAATCCAATTTTTGACGAGATTCAGAGAAAAATGTGAGAGCCTCTACATGATCGTTGTATCATGATTCATAATGTTATTGCAGTGTTGTATTTGTATAGTTAGCTTTTGAATCTGCAGGTCCAGCTTGAGGCCTGACTCTCAAGGGAAACAGGGTTGTTCGTGATCAATTCCCTTGTTAAATTATGCAACAAATTGTGTCATAATGGTGCGGTTTTTGTTGAGTTCGGGTTCAAGAACTGTTATAATGTGACTGAAAGACAGTGGCACGTTTCTATCATCCCTTAGTCCTCACCCTTTTTCCACATAACTTGACTAGTTAAATCTTTAACTTAATTAATCTCGCGGCAAGTATCTGTAAGCCTATGAGCATTGGGTAAATCATCAATATGATTCACATCACTCCCTTACTAGTTGAGTTAGAAACTCTAATGCATCGGTTTGTTATTTTTTTGGTTAAATGCTAATTTTGGTTAAATGTTAATTTTGATCCTTCAACTTTAAGATTTTATATAATTTTTATCCCTCAACTTTTTTATACATTTTTTAGTTCCTTAACTATGTATCTTTTTTAGTTCTTATGTTAATTAGTCTATTAGGTTAATTTGAATCTGTAGATTTTTAATCTTTTAACTTTTAATATATATACATTTTTAATTCCTCAACTTTAAGTTTAGAGACTAAAAACATACATATTTAGATAAACTTAACAAACTAATTGACAAAATAATTAAAAAAGATACATTTTTCATAGTTAAGAAATAAAAAAAGTGCATAAAAAATTAGAAATTAAAATTGTGCAAAATTCTAAAGTTAAGAAACCAAAATTAATATTTAACCTTTTTTTTTCTTTTTTTGCATTTTGTTGAATTTACTTTTTCTAACAAAAGTGATCAGAACTTTAATTTCTTAGTTTTCTTGATAATTAAAATTAAAATGCACTGTTTTTTTTTAAAAATAATTTCAGATGTATTGTTATACTTTTTTCATACAAGTTAACTTAAAAAATATTTTTTGTAATTAATTTATAGAACATGTTAATTTTAATTCTATATGAGCTAAATTTCTAAAAAAATTAAAAGGAAAAATATTTCAAAACCGTCATTTCATTAAAGCAATGTGGAAAAAGATTATAATCTCTTAAATGCTTCAAAAACAAGTTAATTAATTAGTTTTTAATGAGAGTTTTATTAAAATAATTTAAGTTTATTAAAAAAAGTATTATACAATCTAAATTATATCAAATTATATAACACTAATCATTAAATAGAGATTGAGTCATCTAATATTTGGAGCTCTCTTCCCAATTTAATTATTCATGTTTTACAATCTGACACAGTTTAAATTTACAAGTTCCAATTTTATTAAGGGCTTATTTACCTATATTACATGTTGAGGGACTAAAGGTTTCAAAGACAACAAGTTAGAGGGCATCTGAGTAAGGGGTGGGGATTTTGGGTGGGATGGGTTTCAAAGTCAGAAGAGTAAAAGGTATCTAGAAAAAGAGTGTAGGGAAATGGAACCTGGGAAAGAAACCCACTCTACTGATAATCTGCAATCAGACAAGAAATTTGGAAAAGCAGAGATGTACCGCCAGAAATCGATCGACCCCGGAGAAACATCGAACGATTCCTTACTAAGTCTTGCGATTCGTTACTAATTCTAGCGATTCTGTAACAAAAAGGTATGATAGAGACCAAGCATGGAGTCGTCATCCACAAAGCCCACTATGTATATATATGTTTTCAGAGAGCTGTATATGTCCCAGGCATTGAGTTGTTGCGAAATTGAAGCAGAGGTGCCAAATTCAGTATCAGGTATGTAAACGTCGACTTTAATTCTTAAATTCGATTCCAATCCCTCCGCTTTATAAATGAATATTGATGTTCTCCGTTTAGATACTACAGAGGAGAAGTTGAAATGGCTGGACCAAGGAAGAACCGTAATGGAACGCATAGGCGCATGCGCAGAGTATAGCTTCACATTTATTTTTCCAACAATTGAATGCCTATCAATTTCAGTTAATGTCGCCACGAGTTTACTGATATTGGTTTCATGGCTTTAATTTGTTCAAACAAGGCTCTCAAGAAGATGAAACGAGAAACTGCAGCCAAGAGGGAGGAGCTGGGCCGCCTAAGAGAAGAGACAGCACAAATGGAATTTGCAGTGGAACAGCTGAATTTTGAGGAGGACTTGCTGAGGATGGTGCTGGAACAAACGTTCTAATGACAATGCTTTTATCTCAGCAACATTGGACAGTATTACCCAGGCCCACTTTATTTAGGATATACAAGAAGAACAGTCCGATCTGTTGCGTCATGGTCCAAACCCCTGGTGGAGCTTATCCTACTGCATAATTAAGTCCAAGGGCAATAAAAGTTGTGTCTTTATGTTCATGTCTCATGTCATATTAGGTTTAGGTATTTGGGAGCTATGTTTTTGGGTTTTTGTTGTTGATCACTGCTCTTTTATATTAAGTTGGATGTCAGAATATTTGGGCTATTTTCTTCAGTTAAATGGATGGATTCTTGTTTTTGTATCTTGCCATATCCAATATTTCAAATTCTACCTTTGTATCCATGCAAGCAAATCACCTTATTAACATCCTTGTGATGGATGAATTCTTCTTTTGGGTATCAAGTTAAGTAATTAACATTTCTTCGCTACTCTAAATTTCTCCCTTTTTTTCTTGGGGAAGTTGGAGATTGATAATTGGATGAAGCCATCATGGGGTAAGGTCTGTGAACTTGTTTAATGATCCAAACTATCCTGTCCAGTCTGGTGTTTTAACTTTAACAAGCTAGCAGTTGTTGTTTCTTATTCAAATCATCGTCGAAGTATAGGAATCATGGGGAAGGAAAAAAAAATGACTCGAAAGATAAAGGAGATCATAAACTTTATCTTGCTGCCGGTCATACATGTTTCCAGAACATTGCTAATAGCAAAAAGATACTTTCTTCAGTATGTGTGTATTATAAAGAGAACATTGCTAATAGCAAAAGATGCTTGCTTCAGTATGTGTGTAATATAAATATGGGACATTGTTGATTTTTTGGTTTGTTATTCATTCACCAGACTCTTGCTTAAGTATTTGCTATTCATGTCTCTAATCTCCCTGAGCACATCATATTTACCAATAACTTAAGGCTTCACAATTTTCATATTCTGTAATTAGTTTGGTTTTAGTGTTCTGAGTGTTTTGTTGTCTCTTTTGCACTGAACATTCATGCTTTTTTCCAGATGGTATCTCAAGAAATGCCCTTAGTCGTACATTATCAGGCGGTCAACAAATAGTGGAACTTGCCAAAGACTCTATTGAAATGAATGAAGCTAATATAGAGAAAACAACAGCAACTGGAGCACAGAAGAGTAAAGGTTTTGTTTCACAATCTGCAGTTGCTTTACATTGTCAAGTAATGCCACCTCCCTCATTAAGAATCCTTATCTAAAGGATGCTTCCAAAACAGAGATACATCCCTTTGGAAATCAAAGATCAAAATGTGCAGGTATAATTCAAGATTCATTAGGAATTTTTTAACCTATCTTTGTAATTTTAGTTCCGCTGTCTGCTTTACCTTCAAAAAGAATGAAACCATGCTTTTATGTCCAAAAAAGCATACAAAATTTTAAGTACATTTTCCCACTCTGTAGGTTTCTTCCGCTTAAGTATTGGTGGAGATGGTCTTTCACGCTATCATACAGATTTTCATGATGATGGCGCGCAGCCTAAAGGGTGTAAGTCCTTTAAGCAGTGTTGTTTTCGTAGGAAGTGTAAGAATTAGTGTAGTAGTTGGACTTATTTAGTACTTTTAATAATTTTAGAAACTTTATTATTATTTTCGTATTTAATTTGGACCTAGGGTTTGGCCCCTATAAATATTGTTTATACGACATTACAATGAGTTTTGATGAATTAAGATAATTTTCCCAACCCTAATTCTGTTATTCTCTTCTCACCCTTGCCTCTGTTTCTAAGTTCTATCTTCACCTTTGTTTCCTGTTCTACATCACATGAGATTGAGCTATCTATTTATATTCCAAGATACTCTAGCCTCTTTTGGACCATTGGTTTCATACATGTTAGAAATTGAGGCTTCATGTTTTTCTATCCTTGCATTTCCAGCTAATTGGTATGGGGAACTTCAGTCAAGTTTTTAAAGTTTTAAAGAGAATAGATGGTTGCATGTATGCTGTGAAACATACCACAAGGCAGTTGCACCAAGACAGAAAGGTAGCACAGTGCATAGTAATTTATTTTCAGCATTCTACCTTCCTTTACCAACTCCCTTACGTGACAGTTTTTCAACTTTGCAGGAGGAAAGCCTTAATGGAAGTTCAAGCCTTGGCAGCTCTAGGTCTATCTGCAAATACTTTTCTGTTTCTATGCTTTTTAGTTTTTATATTTATTTAGAAGCTAGAAAATTTGTGTTTGATTGTTGACATTGGAACAATCTTTCCTAAATGGTGCTAAGAATTAACAACCTGCTGTTACAGGGTCTCAGGAAAACATTGGAGGAAAATGAGCAACTGTACATCCAGATGGAACCATGTGATTGCAGCTTCTCCAGAAATAAAGCTTCCCAATTATTCACAGAGGGCAAGTTACTGAAAGTCCTATTTCAGGTTAATTTTCTTTTTGCTGTGTCTCTATAGAAAAGAGGAAAGATATGTCTGCAGCAGCCTTTTAATAGACCTTCCGTTAGAAACTTGGTAGTTGGCTACCTACAGTTGCACAGATGGCGTATGCATGTCATAGGTTGACTTATTAAATAACATGAAAGAGGTTTCAGTTCTCAAAACTTAAAAATCAACTTTAGTTATCTCTTAAAAAAAAAGAGTCACCTTTTGGGAACTCTGGGATTTAGATGTTTCATGCAAGTAAAATATGAAAATGTTGTCTCACATGTCATCAAAAATTGGATTTTTCTGTGATATGTTTAATGTTTATTTGGCAGTGGTTGTGATCTTTATTAGCTTAGTTATTTTTGGTAAATCTATTCTGAATTAGAAACACATTTTCAATTCTATCAAGTTGTCATTTCCTGTAGTTGGTGCCCTTTCTAATGTCAAAATTAATGCAGATTGCCAGAGCATTGCAGTTTATACATGTAAGAGGAATAGCTCACCTAGAGCCAAAACCTGAAAATGTTATGTCATGAACGGTGCTTATAAGCTAGGCGATTTTCGATTTTGGATGTGCAACTCTTCTGAATAAGAGCTTGCCAATTGAGGAGGGCGATGCTCGTTGTATGCCTCAAGAAATCCTAAATGAAAATTATTATGATCATCTTGACAAGGTTGATATCTTCTGTTTGGGAGCTGCAATATATGAGCTTATCAGAGAGTCACCTTTTTCAGAATCAGGGGCCCAGTTTCTTAGGGATGGAAAATTGCCACTCCTACCTGGGCATTCATTGCAGTTTCAAAACTTACTCAAGGTATTCTCTGTCCTGTTCTTTCTTCAGTGCTGAAGCCTTTCCTAAAATTAAGTAAACCTGTTCATTCTTTGCTAGTTATCTGAAAAGCAAATCTTGGAAACTGTCTCATTTAGATGAATAAGATTGTCCTAAATCAACAATACTTTGGTAAAATTTTAGATTAATAAGATTCATTTGTCGAGATTTCCAGTAAATGAATACTCATTTCATTTTAAAAGGGAAGCAAGAGCTAGAAAACAATTTAAGCTGGAGTACCTTACCTAACTGGAATTCAATATTATGTCATCCATTAAACTGGAATTACATGGGAAGAGTGCCATAGCATGGTTAGTTTTATCTGATATGTTACATATGTATGATAATTCTATTAGGTAATGGTTGAACGGGATCCAGCTCGACGTCCTTCTGCCAAAGAAATAGTAGAAAATCCAATTTTTGACAAGATTCAGAGAAAAATGTGAGAGCCTCTACATGATTGTCATATCATGACTCATGATGGTATTTGCAATCTTGTATAGTTAGCTTTTGAATCTGCAGGTCCAGCTTGAGGCCTGAC